GGCGAGCGGGGAGAGCCGTGCCGTGGCTGCCGCCTGCGGCCGCCTGCCAGCTCCCGAAATGCCCTCGCTCCGCGGAGTCACCGCGCTGCCGGCTGGGGGGCTCTTATCTGGTTATTTATTTATTTATTTTTTAAATATGCGGATAATGTCATTTATTCTGTGTTACTTCTCTCTGTGGAAGAAAAAAAACCCCTCCCCCTCCAGCGAGCAAGCGCAGAGGAACTTCCTTAGTTTTGTCAAAGCCTCTTCCTGCTTTCGGGCTTTTATACCTTATAAGGCAGTTTTCGGTGTCAAACCTGAACCAAATCCGTTTTAGAAACTCTTCTTTTTATTTAGCAGCTACCAGATGATGAAGAGAATGCGGTGCCGGTGATATATAGCATAAAAAGCGATTCGGGAGAAGGTCCTCGGGATTCAGGCTCCCTTGTCCGCCGTGGCGTGGCTCCTGGAGGCTTTGGGTTGGGGAGCACGCCCAGAGAGGTGTCTGTAGGAAGCCGACCTGGAGGGGTTACAGGGTACCGCTCACAGCAGCGCGCTCAGGAAGCGAAAACCGCTCTGTGACCTACTGTCTGCGGTGTGATTGTAAAGATGAAATACTTCATTTTAGGTATTATGCATCGGGCTTTTATGGGGAAGTATTGGTATATTTTCAAGACTCCTCCTCTTTAACTCATCTTTCACTTTTCTCATTCATCTTGCTAAAAATAGTCAAATTTCTCGGTGACTGCAGTGTAGGTACAAATATTTACAGTGCTCAGAAAGGACATGTTCTTTTGAAATCCAGGCGCTTGTTTTTTGAAAGCACATACTCATCTTCCCTTCAAGAGAATTTGATTGGTGTAGGACATTAATAAATTGGTCTTTAAGAAGAGCAGGCATAAAGGTGTCTGTAAGGTATGCATGTTTAACAGTTGTATGAAAAAGTCATACCTGTACTTAGAGCAAGAACTGAAACCTTGAATTTTGTGGGATAAAGGGAGGTTAGCACAGTGGGAATGAGAGTGTAGCTGAGTGTAATAGAAGTATATGTGAGTTTAACGTGATGTGTGTATGCACTGTTTATTTTTCAAAATAAAAGATCTGTAATGTACTCAGCCGCATGCCACTAAAGGCTTTTTGCCATCTTACATGTTTGTGCATTGCAGGTAGTCCCATTAAAGTCAGTAATTATGTCTTTATAGGTTTGGAAAATATAGGTTGTGATCACTTGGAGTAGAGAGATTCACTTTGAGGTTTCAGTGATGCCAAGCGGGAACATCATGCTAGCATATAGCTGTGTAAGAAACAACTTTGTCTTTTTAATGTGAGAGGTATGCCAAAGGATCTGAGTGTTAAAAGAAATGTTCCTGGGGAAGGTCTGTGTGTAAGTACTCCATTAATCAACTTCAGTGCACAGGGCTTACTCTGTAACATTATTGAATATGATGTTAGCCAAGTCTTGCTCCTGTTTTATTTATTTATTTTCCCACAGTCTTCAAAGATCTCTCTAAGATACTGTTTTGCTGTGCGCCTGTATTTTTTTTTTTTTTTTAAATGCAGCACAACATATTCTGCTCTCCATGCTTTTCCTTTCTGATGCACTTTGTAGTCCAAGGTTGTTCTTCCCTGAAGTTCTGCTTCAGGAAACTGCAAGCAAAGACTTTTAGCACTGGAAACATTACGGAGCGTTGGGGTTGTTGGAATTCATTGATTTCAGTAGACAAAGGTGTGAAGTGGTGAACTTACAAAGGAAAAATCTAATACTTGAGATAAATAAGGAACAAGTGGGTAGCAGTTCAGTGGGATGTGATAGCATAATCATGCTCACAGCTTTTTTTTTTTTAATTGGTTCAGCCCTCCCAGGCCATCTCATTTTTGTGACTATAAGTGAGAACACAACACATAAATTATGACAGCCTTCTGCTCTCTGCAGATCAGTTGAGGTCTCTCCTAGGGTCCTATCTTGTCTACCAAAACGAAAGAAAAGCAGACAAACTGAAAATAGCCCCTGAAAACAGGAAAAGAAAGAGGTGTTGAAAATACAACCCAAGCAGAAAGGTTGAAAGGAACTGCCTTGTTTAGAACAGGCAAGGCTTTAAAAATGCACAAATTTTCCAATAAGTGGGGATTTTTTAGAGGGAGGGGATGATAATTTACAGTCAAAGGAGAATTTACCTTAATCAGCAAAAGGGCAGATGTAGGGGAGTTATTAAGGGTGTCTTCCTACATGTCTTGTGCATGTAGCCACAGGTTCAGTTTGTTGATCTGAGTAATTTTTTTTGTGTGTGTGTGTGTTCATTTTTGCCAGCCAAGATCCGAGGGGAAGGAGATGGATAAGAAAGGTGGCAGAGTTGTGCTTTTCAGCATCAGCCTGCACAGATTAGACAAATTTTAAGAACCCCTTTCAAAGCACAAAGAGACCAAAGCACGGAAGAGGTTGGGGAGATCATGTGATCCCCATTGTCTGAGGTTTTAATGGGTAAGTCAAACTTTTTAGGGATCATCCAAGTAAATGTCACATCGCTGGAGCTGGCAAACGGGTGAAGTCAGTGACATGGCGATCAGATTATGGGTGCAGCACAAATTTTTCCAGTGTTAACATTTGTTATCTTGATATTTGCATTCTTTGCTTAAGCAAACCTGATATCTAGAAAATAAGGTAATGGATACCTAGTTAGAGCAGGTAAATACTGTGAATGGGACTTACTTCAGTCTAATGTATCTAAGGGTTACATGCATTTTAAAATAGAAATACAAAAAAAGAAAACCAACATGGAATTATTTTCATAAAGTATATGAACGAAACAGCAAAGAAAGAAAAAGGCTCTTACTCATTTTTTCATCTCAGTAGGCTGCAGTCTTTTGCTCTGTGCCTTTTTGGGTATTTGAATAGTTCTTGCTGCCTGTTCTACAGCAGGACACAGCACAGCCTGCAAGTCATGATTAAAAGCTCTTCCTACGCCACTTCAGAATTTAGCTTGATTAGGTTGACAAGTAGATTTTAGCTGTGTCTTTCTGTGTGAATGCTTTTTTTTTTTCCTTAGTATAAACTTGTATAACACTGAATTAGCTCATTTGGGATGGCAGATAATTGCAAGTGTTCAAATTAATGGCTCTTCAGCTGAGCTGAAGTAAGTGGCTGTGTAACCTACTGCAGTTCCAAAATGAGACCTTAATTTTAGCAATGAAAATGATTTAAAGAAAAGCGTTCATATTTTCTGTACCTGAACTTTCCCATTTCTATAGGCTTGTGTGCAGTTTTTCTGTGGCTGCCAGGTGGATCCATTACCAATCAACACTTCAGTGTCATAGGTGACCAACCTCTCTAATGTACCCCAGACTCTTTTGTTGTATGTTGGTTAGCCTTCTCTTGAGTAAATTGGTTATGTGATTGTGTGGAGAAAAAAAAAAATTCTGTTGCCTCACATCTTCCTCGTTTATATCTCCTCTCGTATGCCAAACTAGGCCCCTTTTTCACTTCCCTTACAGGGGTTACAAAAATGGGTATGTTTGGGTTTTTCTGTTCCTTCTTTCCTGAATACTAGGGGAGAACGAAGGGCTTCAATGGTGAGAAAGCCCTGCTGTTCGTGGTAGGAGCACGAGAATCCCTCAAACCTCACATCAGTCTGGGTTCCTTCTGAGCTGAGAGCCTGGAAAATTGAGGCTGCTCAGGATTTCCAAGCTTTCTTGATACAAAGTTGCAAGCTGTTCTTTGGAATGAGTCACATCTCAGAGTTTCTTGGCTGTTCAGTTTCTATAACCCATTTTGCTGTAAATGAAGGAAGGATAAACTTGGGCACCTGAAGCCTCAGAGAAGCCAAAACCCTGGCTCGTGCTTGGGTGGTATGCACAATGGAAAGAGCTCTGCATGGAGAAATTCTCTAAAAATCCTGCTTCTCTAGTTTATCTACGTGCACACCTATATAGCTTCATGCTCTTTAAGTAGAGCAAAGTGTTTATGGGTTGAGCATCCTCTCATGTGGGAAGTTAGGACAGGATTATGTTGTTCTGTGTCTCTTCTGGGTTTTGACCTCGTGGTTTAAATGAGTACAAGATCCATGAAAAGCTAATAATCTTCAATCGACAGCAAAGATATGTGAGGTGAGAAATCCAGTGCTATAAAACCAAGGTAAGGTGAAGTAACTGCCTGTATTTTGTTTGCAACTTTTTAAACATCTTATACTGGACCTTGAAATCATTTCCCCCCCCCCCCCCACCCAC